GATTCCTTTCATTTGAAACCAGTGAGTGAAATCAGAGGAGATGGTCAGTGTAATACTGTAGTGACTGTATAAGAAAGAATGACTTGCATTTATCTGTCATAAACTCAGGACCTCAAATGCTTCACAATTATTGAAACAATTTCAAGTCCAGTCATTATTATAATATAGGAACAAAACAGTTAATTTGCACCCAGCAGACTCTCAGAAAACAGCATTGTGATAATAACCAAATAATTGTGTTTTTTAAGTGATGTTGGTTGAAGAGGAGAGCGGTGGTGGATAGGAACTACTTAAGCATCCGCTTAAGGAAAAAGCAGAGAATTTGCAGGCTGTCTTGATGGGGTATCGAGATTCAGGGGAACTAGATGTCCATGGTGAGAAGCAGACATTTAGTACAGGAAACTGTTAAAGAGTTGTTGGAAGAGATTGGACAAGAGGAGAAGGAAAAATTGGTATAGGAATAAATGTGTTACATGGAGCAAGAGCTTTTGAGATATTTCTGTTATCAGTATTCAAGGGCAAGGTGCTGGTAGACTGGAGGTTGGCTAACGTAGTGTCGTTATTTAAGAAAGGTGGTAAGGAATATCCCAGGAACTATAGACTGATGAGCCTGACGAGCCTGACATCAGTGATGGGTATGATATTGGAGGGGATTCTGAGGGATAGGATTTACACGTATTTGGAAAGGCAAGGACTGATTAGGAATGGTCAACATTGCTTTGTGCATAGGAAATCATGTCTCACTAACTTGATTGAGTTTTTTGAAAAAGATTGAAGGCAGCATGGTGGACTTTTTCTGTATGGATGTCAGTAAAACGTTTGTCAAGGTTCCGTATGGTAGACTGTTTAGAAAGATTAGATCACATGGAATACAGGGGGAACTGACCATTTGGGTACAAAGTTGGTTTGAAGGCAGGAGACAGGGTGGTGATGGAGGGTTGCTTTTTGGACTGGTGGCCAGTAATCAACGGTGTGCCACAGGGATCGGTAGTCATTTTTGTCATTTACATAAATGATTTGGATGTGATTACAGGAGGTATGGTTAGTAAATTTGCAGATGACACCAAAATTGGTGGTGTAGTGGATAGCAAAGAAGGTTACCTCGGAGTACAATACGACCTTGAGCAGGTGGGCCGATGGGCTGAAAAGTGGCAGATGGAGTTTAATTTAGGTAAATGTGAGGTGCTGCATTTTGGAAAGGCAAATCAGGGCAGGACTTACATGCTTAACAGTAAGGTCCTTAGGATTGTGGCCGAGCAAAGAGACCTTGAGGTGCAGAGTCACGTGTAGACACGGTAGTGAAGAAGGCATTTGGTATGCTTGCCTTTATTGGTCAGTGCATTGAATACAGGAATTGGGATGTCATGTTGCGGCTCTACAGGACATTGGTTAGGCCATTTTTGAAATACGGTGTTCACTTCTGGTCTCCCTGCTATAGGGAAGGTGTTGTTAAACTTGAAAGTGTTCAGAAAAGATTTACAAGGATTGGAGGATTTGAGCTATAGGGAGGGGCTGAACAGGCTGGGTCTGTTTTCCCTGGAGCATCAGAAGCTGAGGGGTCACCTTACAGAGATTTATAAAATTATGAGGGGCGTGGATAGGATGAATAGCCAAGGTCTTTTTTCCAGGGTGGGGGTGTCCATATCTAGATGGCATTGGTTTAAGGTATAGGGGGAATGATTTAAAAGGGCCTTTTTCACACAGAAGGTGGTACATGTATGGAATGAGCTGCCACAGGAGGTGGTGGAGGCTGGTACAAAAGTAACATTTAAAAGGCATCTGGTGGTGAATAGGAAAGATTTAGAGGGAACTGGGCCAAATGCTGACGAATGGAATAAGATTAATTTAGGTATCTGGTCAGTGTGGGCGAGTTGGACTGAAGGGTCTGTTTCCGTGCTGTACATTTCTGTGACTCTAAGAACAGCTAAAATGATGAGTTTACCATGTCAGTTATGCTTTGTGGATCTTGGGAATGAGATAGAAGTCTGTATGTTGTTAGAGACCATCAGTGGACATTTCTCTGTGGAAATAAGATCAGTAATGGTCTAGGACATCACGGTTAGATTTACAGTACCTGTCTCATAATGAGAGGTAGGAGAAACTATTTGAGGGTTATCCTTCCAATTTTGCAGGAGAGAGATGTGTTGACTATAGATTTGGAGGTAGTTTTAATCAAGTTGAACCTGAAAAAGGGAGTGCTGTAGATTCAGAATAAGTTAGAGTAAGGAGAATAGAGAACTGGAGGTGACAAATTCACAGTTCCTATTGAAAGCTTATAAAAGTGTATGATGTCAGAGAAGTCTAGATGGGACAAAATCTCTGAAGACAAGAAGTTCTGCAGTGGGGTGAGGGTTGGTAGTTGGTTATGTCTCGCAAAAGAGGTGAGTCTGGGGTTGAAGGTGATGGAAGAAGAGCTCAGTATTGTTTCAAGCTGTTATGAAAATCTGATTCTGTAATTCTAATTATTTTGAATATATTTCTACGTGTCCAGCAACTCCATTACTCCATGTTAGATATAAATTATACAGATGGGTGAAAAATTTGGAGTTATATTGAAGGTAAACAGCTAATTTGTATTTCTGTGCCAAGAGATCTGCAGACATATTGTAGAGCGGGGCAGCTCTGTGGCTGAAGGTTCTTTTGTTTGCATTAGCTCAGAAAGCAAACAGTTGCAGTTTTGGTTTAATGTAAACTGCAACTTAGAGTTGGATAGCCAAAGAAGTTTAATGTTAAACAGGCCTGCAGAGAGACTACTATTTGGTGCATGAATTATGGACAGTGGCTTGAGCTCAGTTTGGATTTTGTGAAAGTAAAAGCAGCTGGAAGATTAACCAAACCTGAGGCTAAGAAAGAAATCTACAGTGGTCCTTGCAATAGTCATTGATTTTTTTTTAAAAAAAGGCATTGTCCAGTTCAGACAGAGGTGAGGAAATATTTTTTTCACTTAGAGGGTTGTGAATCTTTGGAATTCCCTTCCTGAAGAGATAATAGGGTGCAGAATCTTTAAATACTTTTAAGGCAGAGGTGGATAGATTCTTGAGTACCAAAGGAATGAAAGATTATTGGGAATATGCAGGAAAGTAGAGTTGAGGTTAAAATCAGATCAGCTATGATCATATTGAATTGCAGAGCAGGCTAGAAATGATAAGTGACCTACTCTTGTTCCTTGTTCATGTGTAATGTCTTGGAGCAAAATGCAGTCAACATTGATAGTCATGATATCTTAAAGGAAAGTTGGAGGGTCATTTAGCCAAAAAAATCTGATCACTATAAAATCTTAACTTGCATACTGAGAGGATTTCCAGAGGACTGTGACATATCTTTAGCATGGTTTCTAAAGAAGTAAATGCACCTCTTAAGATTCTTATATTAGGGAATTTTTATACATTAAGCAGGGATGGGTGGGAGGTGTGGTGGTGTGCTGTTAAAAAATAGAACTGAATCCATGACATTGTTTAAAACTGTTGTGTTAACTTTATGCTTTATTTTTATATACAATAAACTGTTCTTTGTGTAAAGAATTTCAAATCTTGTGTAATTCTGTTTGTTAAACATTTTGGAAAAGCAAATCAGGGCAGGACTTTGACGCTTAATAGTAAGGTTATGGTGAGTGTTGCTGAACAAAGAGACCTTGGAGTGCAGGTTCATAGTTCCTTGAAAGTGGAGTCCCAGGTCAACAGGATAGTGAAGAAGGCATTTGTTATGCTTGTCTTTATTGGGCAATGCATTGAGTTTAGGAGTTGGAAGGACATGTTGTCGCTGTATAGGAATTGGTTAGGCCAGTGTTGGAATACTGCGTGAAATTCTGGTCTCCCTGCTATAGGAAGGATGTTGTGAAACTTGAAAGGGTTCAGAAAAGATTTATAAGAATGTTGCCATGGTTGGAGGGTTTGAGCTACAAGGAGAAGCTAAATAGTCTGGGGCTATTTTCTCTGGAGCATGGAGGCTGAGGGGGTGACCTTTATAGAGGTTTATAAAATTATGAAGGGCACTGGATAAGGTGAATAGACTAGGTCTTTTCCACAGGGTGGGTGAGTCCAACACGAGAAGGCATAGGTTTAAGGTGAGAGGGGAAAGATTTAAAGGAGCCTAAGGGCAACCTTTTCAGGCAGAGGGTGGTGCATGTATGGAATGAGCTGCCACAGAAAGTGTTGGAGGCTGGTTAAATTGCAACATTTAAAACGCATTTGGACGGGTGTATGAATAGGAAGGGTTTAGAGGGCTAAATGGTGGCAAATGGGACTAGATTAATTTAGGATAGCTGGTCGGCGTAGACGAGTTGGACTGAAGGGTCTGTTTCTTGCTGTACAGCTCTATGACTCTATGTTTGGATTTTGAAAAATGTTAATAGTTCCCAAAATAATGGTATTAAAGCTCGAATTTGAATGAGGTGTAAGAGGATAAAGGTGAGACTTTGCTGAAGACTGCTTGCTTACGGTCAGAGTAGTGAAAAGTAATTTGCGCCATATTAAATTGTATTTTTTTAAAGGAAAATAAAAGAAATGCTAACACAGGACAAGATTAGAACATTTATAACCTAAAAGGAAATTAATTTCTTGTAGATAGACATTGGGCAATATGGTGGCATAGTGGTTAACACCGTTGCCTCACAGCACCAGGATCTTGGGTTAATTTTTGGCCTTCGGTAGGGTTTGCATGTTCTCCCTGTGTCTGCATAGGTTTCTGCCAGGTACTCTGGTGTCTCCTACAGTCCAAAGGTGTGCAGCTTAGGTGGATTGGCCATGCTAAATTTACCATTACGTCTAAGGATATGTAGATTGGTGGGTTAACCATGGTAAATGTGAGGTTAGATGAGTCGGGTGACTCTGGGTAGGATGCTCTTTGGAGGGTCAGTGCAGACGCGGGTTTAATGGCCTCTATCAGCACTGTAGGGATTCCACGATTCTGTTCTGTATATTTGGCAATTGAAATCCTTGTCTCCTAATAAATTGGCTCACAGAACACAATTATAAGTTTTTTTTTTACTGTTTCTGTTGCAGGTACAACTTGCTGGAACAACTTTGCAGCCAACTGCTTCACAAACATTAAATTTACAGGTAATATATTTTATCATTCTAGATAATCAGCCTGTTTTGTTCTAAAATGTTTCCATTATTATGTGGAGTTATAATGGGTAAGGACGGGGTAGAATTAGCTGCCTTGTTTGGTGAAAGGGCAAAACTGTGTTTTCCTATCGGGGAAAAGAAAGACTATTTGTTGCAAAGGAAATGACCTTTTGTCACTTTTTTTGCTTTCCCAAAAGAAACTGTCATGGTTGCCATGGCAAATTTCAATCTTGAGAAGACTAACAATGGCAAACGAATTTATCTCTCGAAACAGGCTGTTTGCAACCCTTGTGCTGCAATTATCTTGGGTGTAATAGACATAATTCATCATTTAGTTTATACTAAACATTGATATTAGAGCTGAAAACAAAAAATTAAGTATTGTAGTTAATTGCTGTAAGTCTTTGCATTGGAAAAGACTTTTGGCAAGCTGGGATTGTATTTCATATGAAATAATAGAAAATGTAGAAATACTCAGAGTAGTGAACATCAGGGTCAAGGTTCAAAAATGAATACCTATTGTATTTCACACTTGTGTTTTTTGTGCTGTTAAATGCAGTGATTGCAGAAATGTTAACAGCTTAATGATTTGATTATTGTAAACAATCTTGAATCTTTATAGTAAAAGAACTGGTAGGATTAATTCCACACAGCCATATTGAGGTGGCGATTAATCCAAAACACTTCCACTTTAGGTATACTCAGTATTCATTTTGGAGAGAACTAAGAACATGAAAGCCTGAAGGTTCAAATTTTATCAAAGGACAACATTATTAATTCATTTCTAGGATATCTGGAAAATTTGGAATTTTAAGATATGTAGTTTACACTTTGCAAGATATTTAATTTAGTTTGCTTTAGCTGTATCAACATCTCAGACTAATACTCACATCCCACAAGTACTTTTTAATTAAAATTAAGTGCTTTCTTAGCAGCTACACCTATGCCAAACTTTCTTTTTTAGTAAGGCACCACCTCTTGCACTAACTATCGTTTGATATTCCCATTTTGTGTTCTATTCTCACACCTTCCAAACCACCTTATTTATATCAGCATATAGCTCCCTCGCTCTTCCTCAAGAGTTAAACCTAGCAGTCTTTCCTTGCATCCCAAAGTATCATTTGAATGTATTGGTAGATCAATACTAGCACTGTTTTATTGAACTGTTACAGTGATTTCCTGATTATACCTTGTTTACACTAGTGGTATGATTCCAACTGATGGTTATACTAGACAAATGAGATTCCACAGTGAAACCTGGCTTGATAGATCATTTTTTTTTGTAGATTAGTTAGTAGTCAGTTACTGAACATATTCCTAAGAGGTTTTTAATAGAATAATAAATGTTCATTATGCAAAATGAAAAAATAAATAGGTATATATGTGTCAATTTTGAAAGATTTTATCATAAACATCAAAAATAACATTTCAGCTTTTTCTTAGCAATATCCTTTACAGATACTCAAACCCTGTGAAGTGCCACTCCTGTTGTCTTAAAATATCTTCGTTGACTGATGAGATTGCAAGCTTTTCTGTGCACATTTACCAGTTGTGATTCTCTCCCACAGGCACACAGAAACAGGCTAACTCACTGATTTTTCTTACTGATCATGTAAGCATAAAGCCACAAGCTTTTCTTACTCTGTCTAACTGGACTGCTAAAACAGCTTAAGACGTCTTTCCAGTATTGATGACCTGGACAATGCCAAAATTAAAATCTTCTTTTTGTTCTAAACTGAAACTACATATGCCCTTTCCCTACTTTTTCTACAGGTTATGAAAATATAACTACTCAAAGTGTTTACTAAGTTATCTCAGGTAACTTAGCTAGGCGTTTAGGTTAGGTCACATGCTTTCTTGGAAGTGCAGCTTTGAGTTCACTATATGAATTCACAAAATGATTTTCTGACTTCTGAAAAACAGACATAAAACCAAAAACCCTGTTATGTCCATTAGAATTCAAGTTCTCTAGTAACATATTATAAACCTTCATCTCTCTGTGCATGCACAGATAAATACTGTATCAAAATTTCCTCAACACTATTTCTGTTTTATGGCAGTTTTTAATATATTTACATTAAACCCATAAAAATGTTTCATAACTATCATTTTCTGCTCAAGCCCAGTTTGATTACATTTATTTCCTTCCATGTTTGCTTTTGATAAAGTGTCCACTATAATGTTGTCATTTCCTGCAAAAGGAATCATTTCAAATGATATGGTTCTAATGTTAAACTTCAAAAAAACTAATTCCAGGAAAATGAAAGGATGATCATCCATACAGATTATAGTCCCTGCAGACTTCTTTGATATGTGGACTTGAAAATATCGTATTTCTGTTGGCACGAATTCGGTTTCCTAGAAAAATAAATAATTTTTTGTTTATTTCTCGTCTTGTCTGCCTGCATCAACACCAATGTTACTGGCATTGACAACCATTTTAAATGGCTTGTCATAATTTGATGTTGTCAAAGGTATGCTGATATACATTTGGCCAGTCAAATGTCTTGCTTTTCTTCAAAAACATGTCAAAGTAGTCTCCAGGATGCTGAAATTCAGAACAAACCTCCAATAAAATTCACTCATGCCAATACATTGCAGAATTTTTATGTTGTCTTAGGTGTAGGAAAATCAAAAGTAATTCTTACTTTTGATTCTTTAGGTATGATTTGACATTATCCCCTTTTACGGCACAATTAAGTAACTTTAGCTAAATTTATGACCACATCGACACTTTGTAACTGACCAAACAATTTGCTTAAGTGTAGATATTCTTCTCACATTTGGCTGAACTGTTGTTATCTGTGAATATGACAGAGTTGTATAATCTACAACGGAATTGTTGAAAAGTTGTATGTACATGTTTCATTTCAAATGGCATGACTTTAAATTGATAAAGTCCATCCAATGTGAGAAAAGCTGATACGTTTTTGTATCAGTAAATGGAACTTGCCAATACTCTGAACAAGTCATTTTTTATAACAAATCATGCTTGTCTAATCCTCTTGATACAATCCTCCACTTGTGGAATCAAATTTGAATCCTGCTTTGTTACCTTGTCAACTTCCAGAAAACAGCACGTAATCGTTGTGATCCATCTGGATTCAGCACCATCATATTAAATGGCTTCAGCTAGTAGATTACGTTCAATAATGTAATGTCCATCACGAACTTGATCTTTTCCCTCCCATGAACTAATTGATTTGAGTCTGTAAGCATACCCTCCCTCCTGCTCTCTCTCCTGCTGCTAACTTCTATCTTACTGGTCAACTACCACAGACAAGCTGTCTGTCCACAACCCTTGCCCATCCACTACAGGAGAATCTGCTTGGCAGTTGCAACATCCCTCCACCAATCCCTTCACAACCAACCCCCCTTCCAACTGCGAAAGTTCACTGGACAATCCCAGTACGCTGGCCCATTTTCCCCATTGCCAACCTCTCCTTTCAACCTCAAACACTTTGGTATGTTGGGGTAAGTGGGTGGGCTGGTGTTAGGGTGTGGAAATCATCTCTTTCCAAGAATCATTCCACAGATGTGGCAGTGGGAAGGGGAACAGAATTAAAGTACCTGATTAAAATTGCTCTTTTAAGGAGCTGGTGCAGATACAAAGGGCCAGACGTCGTTGTCAAAAGCATTTTGTACAGTGGGTCACACCCACAGTAACACATCCCAAAACTAACAACATGTATAACAAAAGACATTTTTCCTCCCCTTTTTTAACAAATTGATTTGTGAGTCTATGATAGTCCTGTAAGTCGCTTCAATATAGTTTTATGAAGGAATGCATAATAATCCACCTCACTTTTTAAGCACCTCCATGCTATGTCACCTGATCACTGAAGAGTTGATTTAGGAATTTGATTCATTTTAAAATTTTTCTGATATTTTTATTTCATCTTCTTGACTATAAATATACTTTTCTCCTGACTATTCCCCCTGCCATAGTACTGTTTTAACATATTAACATGAAAAAGTTGTCAATTCTTTCTCCTGTTTGGCATACTCAATACATAATTCATATCATTGAGTTTCTTTTTGATAAAGTCCAGAGAACCTTGCTTCTAATGGTTCTGCAAAGGAGGATTATTATGCTAATACCTAGTCTCCAGCAAGAAAAGTCCCAGCTTTGGTTTTTTTTTTATCATTTTTATTGTTTGGTGAGCACTTTTTGGCCAACATGCCTGCTTTGGTTATTTTGCTGAAACTTTAGACACAAATTTGAAGTGTAGTCTCTGAGCTTTGGTTTATTATTCTTTTCTTCAGTCCTTTCACCTCATATCCTTATATCAGTTCAAAGAGCCTGAATCCTATGGACTCATAAAGGACACCCCTAAAGATGAACACTGACAGGGAGCTTCCATTATCCCAATCATTGGGATGTTAATAAAATTACAGGTGTTTATAGAAGGAGGCCATTCAGCACATTGTGTCTATGCCAGTTAGCAAAAGATCTGACTGCACTAATTCCATATTCTGGAGTTTGACCCTTAAATGGCCCTTTGAACTATGGCAAGTAATATCTAAATGCTGCTTAAATGGTGCAAGAGTTTTTGGTTCAACCAGGCAGTGAGGTCTAGACTTCCACCACCCTTTGAATGAAAAAAAAATCAACTTTCTGCCTTTTACCTCGTTATCTTAGTCTACGAGGCCATCGGCAATTGATTTATCAGTAGACTACTTGTACAGAGACCCAGATAATGTTCTGGGGACCTGTTCAAATCCCATCATGGCAGATGGTGGAACTTGAATTCAGTAATCTGGAAATAAGAGTCTAATGATATCATGAAACCATTACGGATTATCAGGAAAAATCCATCTTGTTCAATAATGACTGATGTCCTTCAGGGAAGGAAATCTGCTATCCTTACCTGATGTGGCCTAAATGTGACTCCAGACTCGCGGCAGTGAGAGTCTTTTATCTGCCCTTTGGCCAGTTAGGGTTGGGCATTAATTGCTGGTCCAGCTAGTGATGCCCACATCCCATAAAC